ACAAGAACCCAGCCATGAGCCTGACCGGTGTGACAGGCTCAGAGCAGGCAGGAAAGCTGTGACCAGGGAATGTGAAGCCAGAGCAGGCTCCAGGCACCTCTGTGTACAAGAGTCCTACCCCTCCCCTCCAGCCCTGGCAGGATGAGTGTCTGGCATCCGTGTCCACCAGACCGCTGGCTTCACCTCCTCAAAAGCGCTGGGGGACCAATGAGTCCCCAAAATTTGATGGCACTCATTCACATGGGCTGACCCCAAAATGAATTGGTGCACAGAGAACACCTTGGGGGTCAAGACCCTTCTCTCCTTCACCCCATTCTCTCAGCAGAAAATCAAACAGCCATTTGTCTTTATGGTAGAATATTTCTACAAGGAGAGCTAATTGAGGAGGACAAGAAGGAAAAGCTCAGCTGGTGTATATATGTGCCTACTAATACCAGCCCAGGATCTAGCTTGGAGCATCTTGTCCCTAATATTTTCTTCTATCAGTCAGGGAAGAGGAGCTTTTTGTACTCATCACTTCCCAGCGCGAGGGAAATAATGTTTAAACCAGTGCTGGTGTGCTGCTGGGCACTGGAGATGCCAAGAGCAGGAAGAACACTCCTCAGGGCAGTACAGCTTGGATAAAGTCCTGCTCACCCCACTGCCAGGGAGGCAGAGATTCTTAACTATTTTTTGGAGTTGCTATTTGCAAACAATTGGAGGGAGATCCTAAATTATTTCATCAGGGTACAAGGTACAACAGAAGCCAGTTCCTTATATAGAATAAACAAAGCACTGCCCATTTTCTCTCCTCCTGAATGCATGGATCTCCATGCAAATTAGAATTAAAGGGAGAACAAAGAATACATTCAATATCAAGTTTTGTGCATCAAAGTAACTCTATTTTAAGTTTTTTCCAAATATCAAAAGATGCCCATATGGCACAAAAACAACCTAAAAATGGTACAGAAAAAGGAGAATCATATTCACTGCAGCAAAGGAATGGTAGCAGTTGAGAAACTAACAGATGTCTATGGCTCAGAATTTTGAAATTTGTTGCTCTGTCACGTTTGAAATTTGTTGCTCTGTCACGGTGACATTTACAGTATGGTAACAATAATTCTATAATTTGATCAACTTGAACTACTTATATTTTTAGCTTTTGAATTGTATACAATCTTCCAAAACAGTTTTGATACATACCTGCTAAATATCTTTTTAACAAATTCCAAATTATGTATCTTTAAAAAAAGGACCAAAAAACACAGAGATACACATTTCTGAATAGCACTGCTTGTCTCTGCAGCCATTTACCAGAGAAAGATTTTAAAAACACATATAAAATAGGTGTTGCTATTCTTGTGTTTTAAACAATAAAAACACATATAAAATAGGTGTTGCTATTCTTGTGTTTTAAACAATGAACTAATCAGCTATATACCTTTCTCTAGCCAAACTTATTGTTTTTCATTTATAAAGTCCCGCTTTCAATGTGGCCACTAACGTAGTATGTAATTTTAAAACAAAGTCAAGCATTAGCTAGACCTGTTCAATAATTGTAGTTGATGAATGATTTTTCTAAGATGTCTAAAGAATTCATCTTTTTCCATACACACATCATTCTAACCTAGGCTATTCCATCTGTACATTTGTCTCCTAGACTAGCCATTCTCTAACATATTATTATTCCAGCTTTTCTTGTAGAGATTAAGGCCTGTGGGGTTTGGGGTTGCTCACTTCATGGAACACAGCTGAGAGTTCTGAACAGCAAAGGTAGTCAGAACATGAGAAAGGATGAAAATCATCATTACATGCTGAACGTACATTTTGCTATATCCATGCAGATCTGTTCCCATAAGCACTGGGTACCTCCCTCTTCCACCAATTTTACTGAAACTTGTGAAAAAAACTCTTTTTAAAACTAGACTATTTTTTGAAGGAATTGTGGATAAGAAGAGATGCTGGTTTGATTTATCAGAGAGCTGATGTTTGTTTTGTGTAACATTTTCTGAACAGACACCATTTTGGCTGCAGTTTTAATTTATATTGTCTTCTTATTTGCATTCAAATAAATGCATTTAGATTTCTACATTCAAACTCCTTGATTTTAGAGCCATTTCAGCATGACCTGAACTCCCAGGCCCCTTCATTCACAGGTGACTTCTTGAGCAGAAGTAGTGGCAAATGCAAAAGCAGCAGCGACCCAAGTTCCCTGACAGAACAGCAGCACAAGGATGGGGTTTCACGTCTCCCTCTTCTCCAATGTTCCTTTTCACAGGCTGCTCCCAATTGCTGCCACACCCCAGGCAGTGTCAAAAACCCCAGGTTCAGTCAGGACATTGCATTTTCCATCTGGCCACTAAATCTGACCTGGCAATAACCTGATGTACCCACTTTCCCTGTCCACCTGCTTTCTTCACAATGGGAAAGTGTTTGAACCCCCAATTCCTCTTTTTGCACAAGGACTTAATGTCCATCATGCTGGGACTTTAATTGGTGGTAGGTTTCCTATACAGGCTTCATAAAAGTTTTCTCCAGGCACCTGCATGTTTATTACCAATTTGTTATAGAAACAAAACAGAGACTTTTCAGTACCCTGTAGTTTTCCCACTCCAATGAAAGCACCCATGCTGTGCACCATGTTTTTATTATCTCTTCTTATTCATAATTATTTCTGCAAAACTTTATTAAAAGGAAGATAAAACATTCTCTTCCGCTTCCTCCTCTTCTTCCTTAAGCCCACACATCCTTTTTTTTCTCTAAGTTATGCTGGCAGGCTCATGAGAGGTCAGCTTTCAAAGCATCCTGATGCAGAAGGGAACCTGAGGTCACTGCTGCCTTCAAGAACCGCTGCCAGCTTCCTGACCACTCGCAGCAGGAATGGCATCACCCACAGTGACATATTATTGTTATTATCATCCTCTTACCACCATCATTTATAGATTAAGCTGTGAGCCTGGCCAGGGCTCTCAGTGTGTAAAACCTGGCTGCTTTATTGCTCGTGCTCAAGCCTGGCTGATCCTGCTTCCCACCACCTCCACGCTAGCGCCAGTTCTGTGCGTTCTCATGGTGCCAGAGCAAGCATCCCCTTCCTTGGGGGATATAATCACATCTGATGACCCGAGGAGAAGGAGTGGGCAGGGGAGAAAGCAAAGGGAAAGCTCTGTCTTCTCTTCCCAGCTGGCAATCTCAGGCATTCAAAACAAAGTGGGACAAAGAGCCTGAAAACTGTGGGCAGCATCTGATGAAGAGGTTTTTAATTCAGAAGAAGGTAATGTAATTGGTAATGGTCTGTTCATGGCATTATAGGTTCTTTTTTAGAAACAGTATAAAGAGAGAGGAAAAATGTGTCAGAAGGGATATCAAGGGCCAGTCAGAGGAAAAGCTAGGGAAATACGACAGTGGGTGATAAATAAATTAACAACCTCAAAAAATACAATACATGCAACAAGAGGGAGATTTCCCCTTTTCCAGCCCCTTCTAGCAAGCTGTGTCACTTAAATTTCCCAGTATGTCCTAATACAAATCTTTTCTGTCTGCACACTTGTTATTAAACTGCCTTAATTTCAAAAAGGAAATAGAAAAAGAAAATAGAAAACATTATTTTCAACCCCGATTTGTGTCTTTGAAATATGCAGGGACTCTATCACAGAATTTTTCCTCGCTCATTAGTGCCAGCACACATTTTCTGTTCCAGAGAGGGAATACTTAGAGCTCCTCCTGACCCAGGCTGCTTTCCACAGGCTCCCATCAAACAACAGGAGGCGAAGGGCCCCCAGGCACTGCCATCCCCTTGCAAGGACTATCAGTTTGCATTAGTCACAACAAACCTCCTCCCATCACCCAGCTTTCTCAGGGTCCTTTGCTCGGGAACAGTTGCTGGGCTGAGCCTGCTCTGCTGTTATCTTTTTAGATTGCCAACAAAGGAAATTACAGGTGACTGACAGGCAGTACCGCACTCTGTAGGGTTTGGGGGTTTTTTGTAAAAGATTGTTTGTCCTCTGGAACAGCAGCCATCAAGCTTTAACCCACAAATCCCAGACACATGGAGGGCAATTTCTAAATCTGAAAGGCAGCCATAAAAGCTTCATTATGAGAAGTGGAGTTGTTTTCTAATTTCCTGACCTTGAAAGATATTTCTTAAGAGTCTGCAGGGAGCATAGCTTAAAACTTCATGTCTGATACTTTAAAACTGACATTTTAGAAAACTGGGAGTATTGGGTTGGTTTGGGCTTTTTTTATGCTTTTTTTTTTTCATTTAAAAAAAGAGAAGGGCAAAGAGTAGTAAGAAGAAGATCCATACATACTTTCTAAGGAGTTTCTCTTCCAAAAGTAAATTTTGTTGCATATATGTTCAAAAGCACTAATTTGGACCATTTTGAGACCTTCCCAGGGCACAGAGCTTCTAGAGCTGATTCCTGAGCACATCATCTCTGCCCACATTCTCAGGCCTGTGCTTCCTATTTAGTTTATTTCATAGTCTGTTATTTCCAAGAACAAATTTCTTTTGCTGGGGTGGATGCAGTCACAATGAGAGGGCTGGTCATATGGCAGCACATGTTAGTTAACACTGATTCCTGAAAATTCTAACTTAAACCAGATACCAACATTTGTTATTGAGTGTACTTAAATTTAAGGTAAAGAAAACTGTTTTATGTTATAAACCAGGATTTATTATATCAGTTATCCTTGCCAGTAAAACCGAAACATATTCCTAACAGTGATTTAAGAAAAAGTAAAGTGACAAGAAAGACAAAAGGTGAGGCATGTTTGAGGTGGATTTTTTTTTGTTTGTTTGTTTATTTGTTTTTTGGGTTTTTGTTGTTTGTAACCAAAGAATAAGCTCTAGGAAGATGTTACCTCCTTCTCCAAGACAGTAGTGGTATTTCAGTATATTCTGTGAGATGATCACCTTATCAACTCCAAAGCGTGTATATTTGTGTATATGTGTCAAAAGAAATACCTTAAAATCCATATATAGTGTATTCTCATATTAATTCAAAGCATTTACATTTTGACAGGTTTGCATCTTGCCATGGATAAAAGAAGCCTGGACAACTACATTAATGATAGCCAGGAAACCACAAACAGCAGGAAAAAACACAGCAGAGACCTCACAAACAACACTGGGCAAGGAGGAGGGGTAGGGGATGGGAAAGAAGGGGTTAAACATGCCAAGTTCACAGTAATTTCTGTTGAGTAGAATCACAAGGTTTGGGTTAGACCTTAAAGTTCATCCAGTTCCAACCACTCTTCCATGGGCAGGGACACCTTTCACTAGACCAGGTTGCTGAGATCCAACATCGCCAGGAATTGGTGATGAACACTGAACATTGCCAGGAATGGAGCATCCACAACTTCTCCAGGCAATCTGTTCACCAGCCTCACAGTAAAGAATTCCCTGCTGCTACCTGTGCTGTTCTCCTTTGTCCTGTCACTACACTGCCTGGTAAAGAGTGCCTCCACATATTTCCTGTAGGTCCTCCTCAAGTAATGGAAGGCTGCCACAGGACTGCCCTGGACTACATATTTATAAAATATATTAACATAAATACAGTATTTATGAAGTACATAACATAATTTATTTACTTTATATAATACTTTACAAAACAACTATTTTATAAAATAAATACCTTCACATAGCTAGCCAAGTCAGGAAAAGGCACTGAGGAAAAGACAAAAAGGAGGAGGAGATACATTATAAACCAGTCTAGACTCCATTTCACAATATTTGCAGCTTCAAGCAAGTGAAGCCAACCTACAGATAGCACAAGAAGGCAAAATGTGATCAACAGAGCCTTGGCAGCATCAAATCACCGCTGACAGCTGTGGTTAATATTTGTTCCTGTGCCTACCTGAGTGGTTATTTCAATTTGCAGCAGCAGTGATCAAACTGTTTTGATTTGCAAGGTGCTTCTAGGCGCCCAGTGGTTTGGTTATGGTTTCCAGTCTGGCAGACTGAACCTTCCCACACCAGTCTCACTTCTGGCAGTAGCCTTTGGCTGACCTCTTGGAGGGAGACCAGCCATGGACCACAGGCTGAGGCCTGGGTAAGTCTCCAGACACAGAGAAGGATAGGATGGACATCTGCTAAGGAGTAGCAAAACCACAGTAATTCCCGCATAATGTTGCTAAATTGCTCATTACACCATGCAAATGTTTCCTGCATTGATTTTAGTGGAAGGAAGCCTCAATTCCTACAGCACTATCATTTCTAGCTAACTGTGATTTTACCCAGTAATGATATCTGTTCCCAAAACTCCTTGTCCAAACAAAAGGACTGCCAGGACAACAATGTCCTGTGTGTGTTGGCCATCTCTCTCCACACAATTAATGAACCAATACTGTCCATGTGACTTGTGGTGCAGAAGGATCACATGAGCTGGGATTAATATGATCTATTTTGCCCTATTTCCTACTTCTGTCATGTTACGTTATGCTTGCTGTATTACCTTTATTTACACTTTAAGGATGATAAATTAAATTAATCAGGGCACTACAGTGACAACTCCTGAGGAAATACAGGCTGTTTTTATGTGAGTGGGTGGTTTAACTGCTGGCTTAAATGTCATCCAAATCCTCCATTTTTTATTCACTGGATAGGTAGTGCAAGAATATGGTGTAAGAAAAATCACTGATATGTCAGACCACCACGTGTAAAGTTGTCTGACGCTTCCTTGTCCTCCTCCACCTGAAGCCACTCATTTTCTCATTGTCCAGGCTGGGTGGAAACTCCCCTCCCAACAAGTGTAGAGCCCAGCACAGCCCAGTCCTGCCCCAGAGCTGCAGTTCCTGGTCAATAACAGAAACAATACACTTGCCCTCACAGCTCATCAAGAAATACAGTCCTATTTGTATAAAAATACCTTCTTTTGAATATCTGTAAGCAAGAAAAGCAGCTGCCTGCAGAGGGATAGCCAGAAGACCTTGACACACTCATCCAGCTCTTGCAGCAGGAGCTTTGTGCCTCCTGTGCTCAGGGGCAAGGCAATATCCAGCCCTGGTTTTGAAATCCCTCACACAAACATCCATGTGCTCTGGGAGCTGTAGTACCCTAATTCTGACAGTGGGAAAAACTGTGAGTCTGCACTTTGGAAGCTCATCTTATTGACACTTTATCCCCTCTGTGAAGCCAAGGGATGAATTTGCTGCGCTCTTCATGAACACTCTCTTCCACCATCTCCTCCAGCTGCAGAATTGTTACCAGCTTTTCTTTCTTGTTCCATTACCATTACATTCTTTCTGTCCCAAGAAAACTGGGAAAGCTGGCCAAAACTGGGGTTTTTTTCCCATGCCTTGACTAAGTCTATGATTGTGGAAGTCTAAGGCCTCGCTGAATCATATTGCTCAGTTCTTCAGAATGAAACTTTCTCTACATGTAGCTCAGTAACAGTGATGGAAATGATCTGCTGTTAGTCTTACAAGTTAATACAAAAACTACAGCCTGTCTTCCTTGCAAAGCCATTTCTCTGACTAAGATCCAGGCCTTTCACAAGTTTCTGAGGTCCATTTTTAACTCCTGTTAGCCACCTGAAAGGTCTGGGCCTTAGAGAAGTGGCTTTGCATTAAGACACCAAGTACTTAAACAGCTTATTTTCTAAGGGTGAAAATTTTCACTCAGCTAAGCAGAACAAACTGCAGCAAAGAGGACTTCGGTGTCTGTGTCTCCTGAGCACTTTCATCAACTTTCCCTTCAGTGCAGTGCCTGGTTCTGAGGTCCCCTGTGAGAGCCCATGTGCCAGCACCCATCTCCCTCCAGCAAAGCCAGTCTTCAGGGCATGTCAGAACCCATGGAACACCCAGGATACAGGGGATCCTCTCTTCCAGCTTTTCCACAGATCCTCAGAAAGGGGCTCTGGCAGCCTGCTAGCAGTCAGTCCTGCACTGCTTCTCTTTCATTCACAAAGCACCATTCACTGCACTGTGGCTTCTCCTAGTCAACGGTAATAACTAGCTTTCAAAAACATGTACATGCAAAATACTGAGATTGTGAAGGCTGTTTTACACTGATTCTGCCTTCAATTGGCCAGATTAAATTAACCTTAAGGAGAAGGAGACCCAAGTAATCAAAGTGCTCATAGACAATGAGCACTTCTGTGTAAGTCCTCACCTAACTCTTGTGTGACTTGCTGTGGTCCAGGTTATGGATGTGTAAGTGTGGAAGGTGTGGACAGGCTGAGATGTCAGTCCAAGGGTGACAGATGGCCTGCTCAGCTAGAGAAGGCATCTCAGTCAGACCATCATTAATTTTAGAAAGGGAAATTAGTATTGCACACAATTAAAGGACGATAGGAGATAGCACCACATAGAGTCATGTCAAGTAGTAAAAAGCTTGTTAAAATATGCTGACATCTCTAGCTAAGTCCATTTTGTCAGGGCTGGACAGTGCTTTTTCTATCCCATTGCGGTTCCCACACAACAAACCCTGCCCTTGAGATATCCTATCTCCTAATCAATAACCACTGGCACCAGCTTGCTCTGGCTTCTCCAAAGCTGCTTTGCAGGAATCTATCCCTGATGCAGTAGCACATATTGCTGCCTTCTTTACTTTCTCCCACCACAGAAATCTGCATTGTCTTAATTACCTTTATCTGTGACCTGATATTAAGGGATGCATAAGAGACCAGCAGATTCCCTGGGCTCAGCAGCCCCACAGGGAACAGGACATTCACCCTCTCCAGGTATCAGGCTCTCATGCATCTGATGAAGTCACAGAAATAAAAGAGCGAGTTTGATTTTCAGGAAGCTGTTTGAAAGCTCTCCTTTCTCTGTTGTGCATCAAAATCTCTTTTTCCTCTTTCTTTTCCCATCAGAGATGAACATTGCATCCTTTGGTTCCCTCTTTCCTATTGCTGTGATTGCCCAGGTCTAGCTTATACTACTGGTATTCCTCTAACAAATAGCATGCCAAGGCTTTCCTAATTTACTTGGAATTACATTTAAGCCCTTATTCCTCTATACACTGGAGATATTTTTCAAGCAAAAATCTAGCACTAAGTAACTTGATTCTATGATGCAAGAGTTTGATAATTATAAACCTTAAATATATCTTTTTTTTTCCCCCAGGAACAAGACAATAATTTATGAGACTATTTTTAGTCTTTTTTAAATGTTTCTTTTTTCAGTTTGGATACTTCCATGAATGTTCCAATCACTACTGTTTTTATCCTAATTGAAATAATATTTTCACTTTTAGATTTTTTCCAGTGCATAACATTTTATTTATATATTTATAGTTTTGTATTTATATAAATATATTTATGCTAGCATTCGTGTGCTCATTTTATACTCAGCTTAATATTTTATATAATATATGCTTAAATTCTTTGTTAACTTGAGATCAAAACGAAGAGCTTTCTATGCCTTGCCTGGATTATGAAGATTAAGAAAAATCTCTCCCAAAGTTATTGTATTTTTCAACATCTTTGCAGAAATTTTGCAATATTTCAAAGATTTTATTACCTGATCACAATTTTTTGTGTGTTTTAAAAGATTCTTAAATATCATTGGAACTTTAGGCATTATAAGACCAACTGTAAAATAATGAAGAACAGTGATAATTTAACTGCCACTTTAAATTGCTTCCAATACACAGAATCAAATTTAACACCTGTAAATTAAAAAACTCTTTCTAAAGTCAAAGATGTAGTGGTATAATCTTTTCTTGTTCTGAAAATACATTGCTTTCTTTATACAGCTAGAATTCACCTATAAACATATTCCTGGAAGAATTTTAATATTGCCTCTGTCTTTTCTGTGAGATTTATTGCAGTTTATACACTGCAAGATGAACATATACCCAGAGAGCTGTATTTTGAATTATCTGAAGGCAAATTACTCTGTGGGCTTACATTCTCAGAGACAGATCAAATTCTGATTTATCATTGGATTTGCTTCTCTGGTTGAGCTGTTCATCAAGTTTAATAATCCTATTAATAAACAATAAAGGATAAAGGAGCTAAGGATTAAAGATGCTAGGTGTGTTCAAAAAACAAACAAAAAAATTCCTTAGTAATAAGAAAAATAAAGTAATTTCAAAGACCAGAAAAGCTGATTTATTTCTCCAGATTTGAAGTCAATCACTGACTCCATATGGTATCAAAATTTCTGAGACTTTTCAATACTGGCTAAAAATACACCATGCAAATGCTCATTTGTACAATACTGAGGCAAAGACAGATGGAAATTGCAGTCCCAGTCCTACCCTTCCCTCTGCAGGATCTAGGAAATGCTTACATTTCACTCCTGAGGCTTGCTTGGATTTCATTTCAAAGGGTAAGGCATGGTATGCAGATGAGGAAGAGAGTTCAGTTCCAGAACACCCATCTCAGGAACGTCCCCCTAAGCCTGGCAGAGGGCACAGAGACCTCTCGAGGCTCTCACCGGGCAGGGCGAGGGCTGGCACCTGAGCATCTGACAGCAGCACATGACAGCACCCTCTGCCCACCCACAGAGCCTCTGCCTCTGCCCCCAGAAGTGTCCACAGCTAGGGGAACCTCAGGGACTGCTCAACTGCACGTTTTTTCCTTCAAGCCTGGGCACAG